TGCTTTTGGAAGCCGTATTCTTTCTTGGAGGCATATATGTGGATACACCTTCTCTTCTCTCTCGACGTGGGTCTTGCGGCTAAATCCTTGTTCATGTTGGACAGACAATAGTGGCATGTCTACGTCGTGTTGCTTCCTAAAGGCGTTATCTTTATCTTTATAGTTTCACATAAGGTTTTCACTTTGATGACTTTTTTTTATCATCAAAGTTTCTAAGTAAATTAGAATATGAAGGATTGCTAACACACAAGATTGAATTTTAAAGTCTAACATCAAGAGTTTCTAAACAAAATACAATGCAGGTTTTTCCATCATCCAATCCACAACAAATCGAATGAAACCGCTTCGGATTTCTTTTGATGAAAACCCTTGTTCCGCTCTCGCTCGCCGCTACTCACGGCCTGAGTGAGCTCAGTGGTCAGCCCCTGACGTTAGGGGTCTTTCACTTTTGCCAGATCTATAGAGATATAAGGTTGCTAGCGTACAAGATCAAAGCAAGTTTGAAACAAGAACATAGAAGTTGGAAGCAGGGTGTTGTTCGGCTGATGGTTTCTGCGTCTGATAAGCCGGCTGAAGTTGATTTGTTATGAGAGAAAAACACTGTTCTATGACTAATAAGCCATGCTGATAAGTTCAATCTAGCTCGGTCAAACTTTATTGCTCTCTCTCTCTCTCTCTTTTGTGTGTATCTCAGTTTTGAGGCTTAGAGTATGTAAACTTTGGTTGTGTATGGATATAGAGGCCAGATTTCTATCTATTATCTAAAAAAGTAAAAAAAAAAGCTTTAGCCCATCTAAATAGAAAGCTACTCCCTCCGTCCCTAGATATCCGTCGTTTTCGTTTTTCGAGAAAAAACTTTGACTAAATATATATATAAATCCATTAATATTTATGATACATAATTAATATCATTATATAGATATTTAAATCTAGTTTTTAACAAATTTATTTGAAAATACAAATGTTGCACGTATTTTTTACAAATCGAGTCAAAATTTTTGGCACAAAAACTAACGGTGACAGTTACTTGAGAGAGAGGGAGTAAATATGTTGATTTTTTTTAGCCAAAATCTAAACTAGTTGTTAGCTTCAACTAATAACTAGATCTAACTCATTCAAATAAGGTCTAAATCCGTCCTATATTTTTTTTGTTCTCAAGCAAACACAATCTAGATCTAGCTCATCTTATCTTATACTCTGATGGCGGGGAAACGGGCGGCTATGACCCGCCTCCGCGTCAGCAGAGACAAATTTGTTTTTGGTTAAATTTAATTGGGACAAAAGAAAAAGAACATGTATTGCAAGTCCATACTTCCATAATTCTTATATTTGCATAAAAATTATGTTAATTACATCTCCGTAGAGAACACCCCTGATTAAGAGCTCCAACATGAGTACATGGAAAATAAGATTACATCATATGGCTTCCTATTACAAACTACAAAAGAAAACAAAGTCTTCGGTTTTGTAGTCGTAGATAGATGAATGTGCATGCTTGGCATAGACTTGAACTTGATGCATGTCATTTTATTTAAACATGACACGAGTTCATTTGTCGAGGAGTAACATATATTCCTTATATGATTGGTTGATAGCGTGTTTAGCTTCTTAGCAGACCATGATATACATGTATTTAATTTATACACTATGTGGTGCAACACGCATATATGTCAGCTAAGAGAAACTGTTTTGTTTGAGTGATACACATTTCTTTGGTGCATTGTCATGTATGTATGCACGTAATTTACTTTGCAGACTAAACTTGACATAGTCTTTTTGGATCATTTAAGATCATGATTTAGCATGTTTGAGATGCCCGTTCATGGATATATTCAGCATATAGTGCAATCTTTCATTTGAGCTAAGCCAAAGTATTTATTTTACCATGGCCTAGAAAGAAATGTTTGAATCATCGACTCAGCCCAGGTGCGTGCAATTAATTTATTTTATCAAGTTTAGCATGCATACTCATGGTATGGCACGATGCTATTAATTTGATATATTCTAATGACTTAGCTAAACATGACCTCTATGGGTGCAATCAGCTAAGATGCAACATTTAATTTACTCATGATGCTCGGCACTTGGCCTAGAGAGCCTATGCCGGGCATAAATGACATGTGTGGAAATTATGATGAACATGACAAAGCCTATTTTGTTTGGGCTAAGTTCATGTGTTTGTAACGTTTGGTTATTTTATTTTACCAAGGCGCCATGAGCAGCTAATTAGCACTAGCGGTCATGACATGGTATTTGGCACGAAGAAACTAATTTTCTTCAGTTTCTTATTTATTTAAATCCACCTGTTTTGGGTCAATGCAACGTAATTAAGATGCAAGATGCATGCAATCTTTACGCTAGCCTTTGCTTCTATTTGCTTGGTGCGGCAGACGTGACAGTTTTGATGCAACACTAACTTAGCATCTTGGTTTGTTCGGCACTGGTACTTTAATTTGATTATGTCACTGTACATGCAAAGCGAGGCATGCAAGACAAGTTTTGGGCTTGTGCAAGGGAGGTGGTAGCTAACGAAGCATAACATGCACAACCTTTTCTTTTGTTTATTTATGACTTGATTATGTCGATACATGATCCTTGATGACTGTGCGGCATGCAAAGGTTTGTGTAAACAGCGGATGCTGGCCAGAAATAATGGCACGTTGCATGATATGCATGCCTAGCTAACGGACTGAATATGCAGTGCGTTTTCAATGTCTTGTTTTTTTATATAATTTCATTTGCACATATGATTGTTTCTTTGATTTGATAGAAACCCATGCATGATCTTTCTTCATGGCAGTAGCATGTGAGTTCTTTATTTTCTTTGATGCAGGATAAGAACGGGTCGGCATTGCCGTAGCCAAAACACATGTAGATTTGTTTAGATATGGAGCCGATTCGCGTCCATATCAAATTTACCATGAACCGGGTGGAGCCAAGCGCGTCCACCAATTTTATACCATGAGCCTTTAACCGGGTTGGAGCCAAGATCGCGTCCAACCGAAAGTTCACCATGAACATAACCAGGGTGGAGCCAAAACGCATCCAAACCCGCATTTCACTGAGGCATATTTGCTATCTTTTTACACCTTCACCGGGGCATATCGCTCATGCGCAAAGCACGGTCGTGGCACTGTTGGCCGACCTTTTACCGGGGCTTGCAGCCCATGCCCATAACGCAACCATCACCATTTCTTTTACCTTTTACCGGGGTAAGACCTACGTGCACTGCCCATCCGCAATGACATAGGCCAGCCGTATACCGGGGCACGACAAGTTGCCGGTGAAGATTTGGTTGCCGCCGAGCACTGTGAAGCCGTGAAGATGGAGAGAGAGGAAGCAAATCAGATGAACACCATGATGCGCCTCTCACCTTCCCTGAAACTCCAACTGGTGCAGGAACGGCGTCGTAGGCTTCTGGCCTCTGGTGATGCGGCAGAGAGGCAGCCAGGAGGCACTGTGATCAGAGAGCGGGTGTATGTGTGTATGTGGCAGCAGCCTGGCGGCACTGTGATCAGTGATCAGAGAGCGGGTGTGTATGTGTATGTGTGGGGGGTTTGAACGCGTGCAGTAGCCTATTATTTATAGAACAAGCAACCAGCGGTTCCTAGGAGATTTGGCGCTCCTTTCATTTGATTTTCTTTCGTTAATCCAGCGCGCTTAAGCGGCAACTTGACTTCATTTTGAATCACCATGTACGCGGTATGCAGGATCGTGCAGTCCAAGGGAGTTATACATGTGGACTTGGTCGCGGCGTCGGACTGGACGTGGCCGCGCCTTGACTCTGTTTGAATATACTAAGCGCGCACAGGAGTTTCTTTGTCTAGCATGTGGGCCGATTTTGTTTATAATTTATGAAATAGAAAACTATTTCTTACCTTGGCACAACCGTAGGTCCTGTACACACGCCTACACGGTATACGTGCAGCCGTAGCTAGCAGGCGTGCATACTTGGGTGTATTTGTTTCTACTTTATTTTATTACTTCCATTTTTTTTACTTTTTCATTGTGTTAACCACCCTGTTATGGACTTGGTAGATCGGTCATTTGTGCACTGAGGCATCTTTCGCAGCTGACAGCCGTGTATCTACCCGTGGAGGTTGCATGACTCGGTCCCGCGGCAGTGGTTTGGAGACGTGGCCATCATTTGACTATGTTTGAATATGCCAAGCGCGCACAGGAGCTGCCTCCTCGCCTAGCAACTGGCATTTGGACCATTTGTTTATTCTTTAACTGGAGTGATTAAGGAGAACACGAAATAGCTTAATTATTTCCTGACCGACGTGCACGTACGTGCTATACGCTTGCTGTGTATGTACCACACACGTACTTGCATGGCCATGTTTTGATTAACCCATGTGTATGTATATGCGTGTATGTATTTACGGCCAGGTGTATTTATGGGACGTGTGATTGCCGTGCTTTTGTTTATTTGTCAAGGCGTGAACACGCTCATGCACATATATATACATGTATGTCTCCTTTTTCTTTTTGCTCCAGCTTCTTTTCCTCTTTAGCGATGTTATATTATTTCTTATTTACTTATATCATATTCATATAAAACTTGATCATCTATGCCATTTTATTTAGTATGGTATAAATGTTTTCACCTATTTTTGGGTATGCCTAAATTGGTGTCAACATACTCTTATAAAGTCAAACCCCACTATTTATTTCTCTCAACATGTAAGTTGTTCAATTAGGCAATCTACTATCACACACAATTAAAAATCCACTAGCCCATGCAATTGTAATGTCCACGATTAGCGAGTCACCTATTTTGTCTCAACATGCAAGTTGTCCAACTTAGCAATACACTATCATACACAATTAAAATCCACCGGCCCATACAATTATAATGTCCACGTCAGCAAGACACATAAGTATTTTGTTTATCCACATTATTATGTCACGCAATCCACTAATCCGCAATTCCTACATCAACACGTGGGGTATTCTACTGGTTCAAATAAGCTCTAAATCCGTCCTCTCTCTTTTTGTCAAGCAAACGCAATCTAAAAAAAAACAAGCATGAATAGATCAGACGAAACATATATATCGAGTCACCGTACCTGCTCGCTGTGGTGGTAATCGCTGCCAGCGGCGAGGCCACGGAGGCAGGCGTTCATGCTCTCGAGGTCGTCCTTGGGCTCCTGGATCTCCCAGCCGACGCCGCTGAGCAGCACGTACTTCTCGGCGAGGACGGTGCCGAGCTTGCCCAGGAGGATCCGCAGGACGCCCTCCGTGGAGCTCACCACGGCGGCCTCCATGATGAGCGCGGCGACGCTCTGCTAGTCGCGGGCTCGGTGATCAGTCCATCATTTGGGTGCATTACTTAAACAGGATCACATCACAGATAGATTAGATACTCCTCTCTTCCGAGATCCTTCTTACTACTGGCCCTCCTCCGTATTAGTTTAGTGACGGCCGGAGAGCAACATGGCAATAGGGCATCATTTTTCTTAGAATTTCTTACTATTTATTTTATTTTGTTTTTATTTTATTTTGCAGAGGGCGTGGTCCTGCTGCGTCGCCTTCACCAAACGAGACCAGGGATTAGCCCGGAGTCAAATGGCCTGGGTGCATATTAGTCATGGGATCAGTGTTTAAATGTTCATATACTATCCAGCTCATGCGTTTACACCGAATCTCTCTTCCCCAAGTCCCAACTGGCACTGTACTTGCCTAGTGAGTAGTGACAGAAACAAAGCAACATGGCACCCTATTTCTTGCTGTAGAGTACTCCTAAAAAAACTTTAGCATTCATGTGTTTAAGAGGATTTGCATGGTGATTTGAGTTTTGAGGATGAGCCCAAGCGATCATTTGAACAGCTTCATGTAGTTGTGCAATGTTCAGTAGGATAGGAATATTGAGTGCACATGTTTTGAAAGTTTTTGATTTAATGATGAAAGGACATAGGATGTCACCTAGAGGGGGGGGTGAATAGGCGTTTCTGAAAAATCAACACCTTTAAAAGCGGAAACGATTAGTAATAGGAGTTTCCAAAATGAAAACTCCAAATCAGAGTGATACCACCCCTCACAAGTTATCCACAAAGTATATAAAAGATACTAGATAAACCTAGGGAGCCAAACAGCTGCAACCAAAGAGTTGAATCAAAATGCACTAGTCAGTTAATGTCGGAAGTCCCGACAATTTGGGTCAGAACTTCCGACGTGTCAGAAGTCCCGACGTTTGGGTCAGAACTTCCGACGTGTCAGAAGTCCCGATAGTTTGGGTCAGAACTTCCGACGCAAACTGTCAGCACTTCCGACCCCTACGGGAAATGAACTACAAGTGCTAAAATGAACTTTGTGATGCCGATAACTTACAAACCCACTTCCTAGTGGTAAGGTAAGGTGTTGGGTCACTCTCTTGACGTTGATAAGCCACCACTCCGTAGATCGAGTCCCAAACCCTAAGAAATAGCTAGAGAGAGGGAGACAACCAAATACATGTAATTTTGAGCAAATCACAACAATAACAAGCACGCGGGAGACAAGAATTTATCCCGAGGTTCGACAGTCCCACAAAGGAGCTCCTACGTCCTCATTGTTGAGGTGACCACTTTGGTCGGAGTCTCTTCCACCTCCTTGCCTCACTCAAGGATACCACAAAGGTCACTTGAGTTTCTTCACTAGAAATCAAGGGTAATACAAACTTACCAAGGCTCTTCCACAAGATGGAAGCTCTTGGGTGACGTCTAGCCGGCTAGGGGAAAATCCCAAGAGTAACAAATGCAAATCAAACCGACTTGACGAAGAAATCAAGTGCTCAAGCTTGCTCAAAGTGATTTTCTCACTCAATCCACTCTCCAAACACTCAAACCCTTTGGGAATCGAAGTTGGAAGCAAAGGAGAGAAGAGTGGCGAGCCTAGAATGCTTGGGGGCTGTTTTGGCTGAGTGTTCGTCGCAATGAAATGAGTGGGCAACGGTTAGAAGGGAGGAGAGGGGTAAATATACTCCAAGGCAAACTCTAACCGTTCAGATCTATGTCGGAAGTTTCGACGCAGATCTCGTGACTTCCGACGTATGAAGAAAACACTATTCACGTGAGGTCAAAGTCCACTCGAGACAGCCAACGTCGGAACTCCTGACATGGGTCGGGACATCCGACGGTCGGAACTTCCGACGAGCACAGTCAGCAGGTCAGTAGAACCATTGATGTCGGGACTCCCGGCTTGGGTCGGGACTTCTGGCTGTCGGAACTTCCGACGTCCACGATCACCGCGCAGAGGTTTGGATCGGGAGTCAAGACTTCGACAAGAGTCATGACTTCCCAATCGTAGGGAGTTTCGCTTACGTCGGGACTTCCGACACCGCGACAACACAAAAATTATTCTATGTGCTCGTGAAGTGCTAGAGTGTCTCTTTGATTTAATTAATATGCTTGAGCACTCTATCTTCCTCGCACCACCTAAACAAGCATCCCTCTTAATAGTACGGCATACCTATTAACTCAAGATCAAAAGAAAAACGAAATTAAACCTTTTGAGTTGATCTTCTTTAAATTGATGTCGTGTCTTTCAATCTTTATCAAGTGAGGGTGCCAATATGTCAATATTGACCTTGTCACTTGAGCATAGCCATCTTGAGCACGTGACTTGATTCCATTCATCAAATATGAATAACTTTAAATGCATCAAGGCACTTTAATCAACTTGTCCAATATAGATTTGATCCTCCACATCAATATGACCATCATAGCTTGATTAGTACCTCAACTAAATGCAAGTACTTTCTTCTTCACCCTAGCTAGGTTCCTCGGCCATCAAGCCGTCGCTTGCCCTTCACCCTTGCTTAGTACCTCGAAGCCTTTTCTTGCTATATTCACCATCTCAAGCCGTCAAGTCACATCTTGTATTAAATCAACCATTCATTTGTATTGTTGCCTTTTTCATTTCAATTTAGCAAAGCTTCAAATATAAGACCATTCCATATGCAATCCCTCATGTCTCATTAATTAACTCTTATCGTGCTTGCTTTCACATAGATCATTGAAATCTCACAATAAATAAGCCTTTGCATGAATTCCATTTGCATTGTTGTCTTATGCTTGAACTAGATTATTTATACAACAATACATCATTTTGGCTTTATACAATTTCATCAAGTATCTATGAGATAATCAATTTCTGTCTAACACTTAGCAAACATGTTAGTCCTTTAATCATGTTGTCATTCAATCATCCAAAACTCACTAAAGGGCTAGATGCACTTTCAATCTCCCCCTTTTTGGTGATTGATGACAACCTGATTAAAGCTTACAAAAAGATATAAACAATTAAGCTTTTGGATTTAATAATTTATGAGAGACTCCCCCTTAATGTGTGCAATATGAATTGAATTCATAAATGACCTCAAATGTCAATTTGCACATACTAAAACACATAGGAGACCCTCCTTAAATCATTGCATCTGTGGGGTGCAAGTGTGTGTCAAAATAAAAAAACCATGATGCATATGACATGATATATCACACAAGACTAAACAGAAAGCATCACACCATACAAAGTCACTCTAAAACATGCATGGTCCTGATGAAAGTAAATAGATCATATATATCACACACATAACACTCATCTCAAAGATTTCTCAAGTCATATCTCTCCCCTTGTCATAGCTACTCTCCCCCTTTCATAGCTAGACACAAGGTTACACTCTGAAGCTTTAATCATATCTCTCCCCTTTGTCATCTATCACCAAAAGGGTCACACAAAGCACAAAGGGTGCTTAAGTTCAAACTTTGTACTAATCTCTCCCCCTTTGTATTAAACTCGCCCCTTTGTCATGGCGTGGGTCATATTACTTTGTCACTCCCCTTTGTCATCTTAAAGAGGTTGTACTTGTCATTTGTTTGCAATTCAAAATAGATCAAGTACATGGGTTCACTAGCTCATGAACAAACTCATACACTAACCACTACACCATATAATCATTCAAGCAATAGTGGTAGTCTATGAATCTAAAATTTTCATTTGTAATGCATGATCCTATAAGCATGTACTATATGCACTAACCACATACTAGTAAGGGATGAAAAATGATCATGCACAATACAATGACACATTTGCTATGTTGGAGAGGAAGATAGTCATATAGATTTCAATTCATTTCTCCAATAGCACCATAAAGTCCAATTATAAGCTTGGTGAAGACCAATAGATATCAATTCTTTGAATTCCTATTCTTCACCATATGAATTGAGAATCACTAATGATCAAGTGCACTCTTCTTGTTGTGGTTGGCTTGCTTCTTCTTTGATTATTGCTTGCTTGAGAGAACTAAAAGATGCACCACTTGTAATACCTCTTGAAAATTCATGATACCACTTAAAATTTCATGACTTGTTCTCTTTTGGGTGTTGCTTGCTTTCTAGACCAATCTCTTGATTTTCTTCAACCAAGTACCTCAAATGTCCCTTTAGATTACCTCTTCGATGTTAGCCATCCAAGCCTAGGGCGAAGTGACCTCTCTCCAAAGAACCATCCTTGATACTCACTTGAAATAACTTGAAAGACAATCACTTGATCCACTTGAAAGATTTTGTTTGATTGATCCATATTGTTGGACTTAATTTGATGAATAACTTTGAATCCTTCTTTAAGTCCTTTTCTTTCTACTTGTTTAAGTTATTTTCTTTCTATCAAAAGATCTCCAATTATCACTAGAACTTAAACTCCATCTTCATCCTGATCTTGGTCTTGATCTCTAGCTTGAGTACCAAATGTGTACCAGATACACTCTTTAAACAAATTGTCTTGTACTCATCATTTGTCATGCTTCTATCTCAAACCAAAACCAAAACATAGGTACCTCAGTCACTTATAGATATGATTCTAATTTGAGGACCTTTGAATCTAAGTGACTTTTGATCAATCCAATAATTATCACTTTCCTGGCAGATTCTGTATTCTTCAAAGAATAAATCATATCTCCCAAAGTACATATCCAAAAACCACGAAATTTGGTAAAGATGTGACACACTAAGTCTTCTAGTAGATGTAAAAATTTTAGCTTCTTTTGACTTCTATATTGCTACCAGATTTCATATCTTTCCACACTGCTACATGCTGAAAACTGCTGCACTATAGCTGACAAGATCTACTCCAAATCTAAAGTATCACTTATCCAAATCTCATGAAATTTGCACAGCAACTAATACCATAAGTGTAGAGCATGCAGACCAAATTTCAAGCCAATACAAATAGATTTGATTACTCAAACATGTCTATGATCACTGCTAGCTCAGATTTTCAATATTGGACA